TTCAGACTTTGTCACCTCACCTAAAGACAAAGCTGAATTGTTTGCCAAGAACTTTTCATCAATATCATCTCTTGATTCCACTAGTTGCGTTCTACCTGATATAGTCGTCAAACAGGTTGATCCACTGCTTGACATCCGTATCACTCCAGCTTCTGTATCTAAAGTGATTTCCTGCTTAGACTCTTCTACAGCTTGCGGCCCGGATAACATACCTGTTATAGTCTTGCAGAAGTGTTCTCCGGAGCTGTCGTCTATCCTTTCAAAACTATTTAACAAGTGCTTATCAGAGTCTTGTTTTCCAGCCTGTTGGAAATCTTCTTGTTCTACAGCTGACTTGATAAATCGCGCATTAGATAAAGGTGGAGAGGTTAAGGCCATCGCTCTTGACATTTCTAAAGCGTTTGATAAAGTTTGGCATGCAGGTCTTCTCCATAAGCTTTCTTCTTACGGTGTATCTGGAAACATCTTTAAGATTATTGAATCCTTCCTTTCCAATCGTAATATAAAAGTTGTCCTTGATGGACAGCACTCTTCTTCTTAATCTGTAACCTCAGGGTTCCTCAAGGTTCAATCCTTGGTTTATACTCTTTTTAATTTATACGTTATGTATTCGGACCTCGAGTAATACAGTTATTAAAAAAAAGTATAATCGTGCAGTACTTAGATCTATAATTGGAAATAGAAGATCATTTGAGACAGCTTCTGGATCTGAATTCATCAGTTTGTGCTCGGTGTTTACTTAAGGACAATATCATCCACCACACCCGTCCACTGTATCTTAAACCTATACTCTTTTTAATTTACATTAACGATCTTCCAGATATTCTCACATCTAAGGTGGCATTGTTCGCTGCTGATACTACCATTTATTCTTGTCACGATAAGAAGCCAACTCCCTCTGATTGCTTGCAGGGGGCATCTGAGCTTGAAAAGAATCTCACTTCTGCTACAGCATGGGGCTCACAGTGGCTGGTGAACTTTAATTCAGATAAAACTCAATTTTTTTCAGCCAATCATTATTGCAATAATTTAGACCTTCCTATATTTATGAACGGTAATGTACTCAATGAGTCTCCTACCCTTCATCTTCTAGAATTAACTCTTACTTCTGATCTTTCTTGGAAACCTTATATCAAATCCATTACAAAATTAGCATCTGCTAAAGTTGCTTCTCTTTATCGAGCTCGTCACTTTCTTACTCTGGATTCTATTCTCTATCTCTATAAATCTCAAAGCCGACCTTGTATGGAATACTGTTGCCATATCTGGGGTGGATCTTCTAATGATGCCCTTTCTCTTTTAGACAAGGTGCAAAAACGCATTGTAAACATAGTTGGACCTGCTCTTGCAGCCAACCTTCAACCTCTGTCAGATCGTCGCAATGTTGCTATTCTTTCTCTTTTCTACAAATACTATAATGGGCACTGCTCTAAAAAGCTATCGTCTCTTGTGCCATCTACTAAAATTCATTCTCGTGTTACTCGTCATTCAATTAAGTCTCATCCTTTTTATGTTACTGTTCCTAAGTGCTCCAAAAACTCTTATTCGTCTAGTTTTTTTCCTCGAACATCAGTTCTTTGGAATTCACTTCCTTCATCTTGCTTTCCTGATTCATATAATTTGCAATCTTTTATGTGGTCTGTCAATCGTTATCTTGCTCTACAATCTTTATCTTTTCTCTTCCAGTAACTTCCAACACTAATTAGTGGTTGCTTGCAGCCTTGTTGGAAGCAAAGATGTTAAAAAAAAAAAAAAATGAGAACGAATTTTAGAAGATGGCACAAAAGACACTAGCTCTTTAGAGCAGTGCCCATTATAGTATTTGTAAAAAAGAGAAAGAGAAGCAACATTACAACAATGTGATAATGGATCAGTGCAGTGCTGTACATCGAGGACAACTTTTATACTATGATTTTAAAGGAAAGATTCAATAATCTTAAAGATGTTACCAGATACACCATAAGAAGAAAGCTTATGGAGAAGACCAGCATGTCAAACTGTCAAGAGCCTTAACCTTTATTTAATGCACCTTTATCTAATGCACAATAAAACCTATAGGTTATTACTGTTAGCAAATCAGCCATAGAACGAGAAGATCAAAATCAATATTGATGATCAAAAAGTAAGTTTTTAAATTCAAGATGAGAGATTAAGTGTTTGTTAATTAGAAATTAAAAAACCTTGCTTATGATAGGAAGAAGACTAATGGGACGGTAGTTAGACAAATCAGATTGTTCTCCTGAATTTTTGAAAATAGGTATAACAGATGCCGCTTTCCAAATGGCTGAAAAACAAGACTCTGATAAGCACTTGTTGAATAGTTTTCAAGTATAGACGACAGCTCTGGAGAACACTTCTGCAAGACTGTAACAGGTATGTTTTCCAGGCCCAAGCTGTAGACGAGTCTAAGCAGGAAATCACTTTAGATACAGAAGTTGGAGTGATACAAATGTCAAGCAATGGATCAACCTGTTTTAGGGTTATATCAGGTAGAACGCAGCTAGTGGAATCAAGAGCTGATGTTGATGAAAAATTCTTAGCAAACAATTCAGCTTTGCCTTTAGGTGAGGTGACAAAGTCTGAACCATAAAAGAGAGGCGAAACTACAGATTTGTCCTTATTATTGATATTAAAGATTCTCCAGAAGTCACAAGAGCCTAATTTTTGTGATGAAATACATAATTTTATGACCTGAGTATAGCGGGCTTTGACATTAGACAAAATCTTTTTACAATGGTTCCTAGCAGTAATAAACAGACGTCTGTTTCCTGGAGAATTGTTTTGCTAGTAGATATGGAAGTAACGGTTTCGATTGGCAATTGCAGCAGCACAATGTGAGGAAAACCATGGAGAAGTGTGAGGCTTGACCTGGAATCGTTGAGAGGGAATCAGATTCCATGACAGCCTGTATCCACGAAGTTATATACGAACCCCATTTGTCAACAAAAAAACAAAAGAAATCACAGAAAGAGTCCCAGTCAGCTTTAAGGTAGTTGTAAGAGGTACAATGATAGGGGGATTCAGATGATGAAGAAGAATGAGATAACAGTTTTAGAGAGATCAAACTGTGATCAGAAGCACCTAAGGATGAATGTGGAGAAACTGAGCACTGACTAGGATCAGAAACAAGACATAAGTCAAGTAGAGAAAGTAAATGTTTTGGGTTATCTGGAAGTTAGAAAGTTGACTATTTGAGTTAGAGATTGAGAAAAGCAAAAGTTGTGGGCTTAAATGCCTTCAGAGTCACTGACATTAGAGCCAAGCCATTCAGTGTGATGAACATTAAAGAAACTGACAACAACAATATTGGCTGATGGGTAAAGCTTGGTCAATATAATCAGAAATAACATCAAGAAGAGTGCAGCCTCGAGATGAAGGAGAGCGATATAGAACAAAGAAAAAGGCAATTGAGTAAAGTGGTGCTGAACAAAAGCACATAAAAGAATAGTCTGTGGATTCAAAACTAGTTTCTCAACAAATGCATAAACTCTTACAAATGTAAATCCCCAGGCCAAGCATGTAACTATTGGAGTCTTTACAATGTAAAGGAAGATAACCATCAACACTAAGATCACAAGATGAGACAGCTGAACTCAAATTAGTCTCACAAAAAGCAAGTAGGTCTGGTGAACATTGCAAGAGATAAGACTCAACAGAAAGAAAAGTTACTTCGAAGACCAGGAATATTAGTGAATAATAGGTTTGGAGAACTTGGTGATGACGATAGTCTCTTGTGTTTTATAGTTTTTGGTCCTTAATTCATTTTTAAACTTGTTAAAGAACTTGAATCAAAGCATAGATAGTACTCAGGACACTGCTTAATAGCCCAAGCAATTGCTTCAATTACTATTAATAAACCCTAAGCCCTAACAAAGGGCTCAAAATGAGGCCTTGGCAATGCACACTAAAAGTACAAATAGAAACACCATCCATGCACAAGATGGCACTGTTAATACTTTGATATTTTTCAGCTGTTGATGAATTCAGTCTCTCTGAGAACTACTACAGAGTTGGGGAAACCTGACTACCAGCGGGCCTCTATAAAACTGAGTTTTAGAGGAGATAATAGAATGAGTTACCTAGTCATAAAAACAGAAACACAAGCAAAACCCATGCATTGAGTCAAGAAGACCCAACATTTAACAAATATATATAATATATATTTGCTCAACCAATTACTAATATGATTATCATCTCCATCATCATCACCATCAACAACACCATCACCTCATTACCACCATCAATCAACAGATATATAAAAACATACAATACAATACAATAAAATAATATAATAACAACAAAAAAACTTGTAAATGACTATTTTAACAAATAAAAGATCAAATTTCATATTATTTTATAAAGATAAGTCCATATTAACAGGTTATATTAACATGGTAATGTTACAATATAACCTGATATATATTATTTATTTCTCAATTATACAAAATAGTTTTTTATAGTAATTTGTATCTAGTTTTTATTTTAGTTTTTATTAAATTTATTTAGGTGAGTTAAGTCAATCTACTATTTTACTAATTCTAATTAAACATTTAAAATAATATATATGATTATAAAACATCTTATTATAATATTAACAATTAAAACGAAAATAATAAAAAAAAAATAGAATAGAATAATAATTAAACATTTATACAATAACATTTGTGTGCTCTGCACACCGGCTCTTCAGCCCTGCTATAACCAATAAAGCAATTACAATGTTAACCTGTTGCTTCACCAATTACTAATATGATTATCATCTCCATCATCATCATCAACAACACCATCACCCACATTACCATTATCAAATAATAAATACATAATAACGTACAATATAATATAATAAAATAATATAATAACAACAAAATAACTTGTAAATGACTATTTAAATGTTGTTTTATTTATTGATATTATAATAAAAAATCTTATTATAATATCAACAAATTTAAAACAAAAACAAGAAGAAAAAATTGAATAGAATATCAATTAAACATTTATACAATAACATAAATGATGAACATAAGTCCCAAACAGATTTGACAGCTGCATTATTTTGAACAACCAAATTTCCCAAGAACTCCATGCATATTTTATTGCATTTTAAAAGCATTTCTAAAACAAAAACTCTTAGTAAATATTATTTTTTTAATCAATAAGAACCCTGGATAAATAACCTTTAAAGAACTTTTTAGTAAACATTGTTCTATAAAAAATCAATATTCTAGCATATACCTTTATTCAAGACCATCAACTGCATATCTAACAGTTTTTTCAAAATATTAATAAATGCAGGAAGAAGATTGGCTGATCTAAACAAATTTAATAATAAATGATGCTTTATAGAAAGCTTTTCACATATCATCATCATAACCATCATCATCATCATCATCATCATCATCATCATCATCATCATCATCATCATCATCATCATCATCATCATCATCATCATCATCATCATCATCATCATCATCATCATCATCATCATCATCATCATCACCATCATCATCATCATCATCATCATCATCATCATCATCATCATCATTATCATCATCATCATCATCATCATCATTATCATCATCATCATCATCATCATCATCACCATCATCATTATAATCATCATTATAAACATCATCATTATCATCATCATCACCATCATTATCATCAATTGATTGCAACTTTGCAATCGATAGTATAAGTGGTTTTTATGAGAGGTTAGTAGTGAATGATAATCTAAGAAGATGTAAAAAAGAGGACTTGCCATAAAGTAGAGGGTTGCCATTCATTAATATAGGAATGCAGACAGTATTGCGACAGTAGTTTGTGGTAAACAACTTATTTTTGTTAGTGTTAAAATTTACAAGCCACTGCAAGCCCCAAGCTGTTACAAAAGTGAGATTCAAGATCAGCTGTGTGTTTGAAGCAATCAAAACAAGAATACCTTTTGTCAAGACTGGAGTATAAAGTTGTTATCAGCAAATAGATCCACTTTAGGTGTCAGGAAGATAATTAATGTAGATAAGAAATAACACAGGACCAAGGATAGAACTTATGAGATAACCAAGAAGACCAAGGATAGAACTTATGAGATAACTGTTTCTTATAGATGTTCTATCTCAAAAAGATATACTGGAGATGCTTTCTTTAAAGTTCCTAAAGAAACGGACGATTTTACAAAAAAATGGGCTTAAGCATTAATGAACATTATAATAAAAGATTAAGTTGTTGATGATATTCTTCGAAAGAAAAAAAACGATTTTGAACATAAAAATTGTGGATATGTGAGCTTCACTTTTCCCCTCAGCAAATTTGGTGTTATGAAACAAAAAAAAAATTAAAAGATGGAGAACTACCATCGTTAAATTTACCAAAAAAGAGCTTAGAATCGTCAGCTTCATGTTCTGTTATTCGATCCTCATTGTCAATATCTAAGCGAGAAAATTCTCAATTACTTCTTGAAAGTTCTTCTTTAACACAGTCCTATTGTTATAGAAACTTTACTGACTTTAAAAAACGTCTTTTGCATTTGCCTTCATTAAATAAGTTATGGAAGATTGAATTTTTTGATAATTTTTGCTATACAAAAATAACTTTCATTCAAGTTATTAGATGAAGTGATTCCAAAATTTGAAATTTTTGTAGAAGATTTGTTATATTTTACTATTTGTGTGTATGGATGGATGCTACCTGAAACACATAATTTATATTTGAAATATAAAAGGTCATTTCTGAATGTGATTTTTTCACAGTTTAATTTTAAAAATAGAATCTTTAGAATTTTGCAAGGGAATTAAAGTTTCTGATCCTATTGAAGTGTTAAATTTTCAGAAGCATGTTGTTCCTGAAACTTTTGATTATATTGTTTATAAAAATTCTTTATCACAGTCTAAACTGCATCAAATTGAATTTTATTGCAGCAACTCTTGTGAAAGAATCAGAAAAATCAAAACAAAGAGTTTTGTCTTTGGAAAAAATCAGCCTTGCAGATTTTGTCATAAACTTAATGTTAAAGTAAATTCTAATATACACTATAAAAGATCTATTCTTATCACTCCTGCTAAATTAAATGCAGACTTCAATGCAAGCAATACAAAGAGAAAAATGAACTAATGAAATCTGCTTTAAATATATGTAGTAAGAAAATTTGTTCAGAACTTAGTAAAGACTTAATCTCGATTTATTCAGCTAGTGATCAAAAAAACATCCCACCGTTTATGAAGTTGTTTTGGGAAGAGCAGCAGAAGTATTTGAGTTGTTCCAATCTTCCATCGATCAGATACCACCCAACAATAATAAAATATTGTCTAAACCTAGCTGCTAAATCACCATCTGCAAAAAAAAAAATTAAAAGATGGAGAACTACCATCGTTAAATTTACCAAAAAAGAGCTTAGAATCGTCAGCTTCATGTTCTGTTATTCGATCCTCATTGTCAATATCTAAGCGAGAAAATTCTCAATTACTTCTTGAAAGTTCTTCTTTAACACAGTCCTATTGTTATAGAAACTTTACTGACTTTAAAAAACGTCTTTTGCATTTGCCTTCATTAAATAAGTTATGGAAGATTGAATTTTTTGATAATTTTTGCTATACAAAAATAACTTTCATTCAAGTTATTAGATGAAGTGATTCCAAAATTTGAAATTTTTGTAGAAGATTTGTTATATTTTACTATTTGTGTGTATGGATGGATGCTACCTGAAACACATAATTTATATTTGCAATATAAAAGGTCATTTCTGAATGTGATTTTTTCACAGTTTAATTTTAAAAATAGAATCTTTAGAATTTTGCAAGGGAATTAAAGTTTCTGATCCTATTGAAGTGTTAAATTTTCAGAAGCATGTTGTTCCTGAAACTTTTGATTATATTGTTTATAAAAATTCTTTATCACAGTCTAAACTGCATCAAATTGAATTTTATTGCAGCAACTCTTGTGAAAGAATCAGAAAAATCAAAACAAAGAGTTTTGTCTTTGGAAAAAATCAGCCTTGCAGATTTTGTCATAAACTTAATGTTAAAGTAAATTCTAATATACACTATAAAAGATCTATTCTTATCACTCCTGCTAAATTAAATGCAGACTTCAATGCAAGCAATACAAAGAGAAAAATGAACTAATGAAATCTGCTTTAAATATATGTAGTAAGAAAATTTGTTCAGAACTTAGTAAAGACTTAATCTCGATTTATTCAGCTAGTGATCAAAAAAACATCCCACCGTTTATGAAGTTGTTTTGGGAAGAGCAGCAGAAGTATTTGAGTTGTTCCAATCTTCCATCGATCAGATACCACCCAACAATAATAAAATATTGTCTAAACCTAGCTGCTAAATCACCATCTGCTTATAGTGATCTGCAATATGATCCACAGTCAGGTGTAGGCATTTTAATTCTTCAAAGCATAAGAACTTTAAGAGATTACAAAAATTACATCTGACCTACTAGGGGATTTAATCCAGCTGTCTTAAGTGAACTTGCAAAAAAAACACAAAATTTTCTTCCTCATGAAAAATTTGTTTCAATTATTTTTGATGAAATGAAGATCTAAGTAGATTTAGTTTGGGACAAATATACTGGAGAACTTATTGGTTTTGTCGATTTAGGTGATAAAGAAATCAATTTTTCTATTTTAAAAAATGTTAGAGAATTAGCTACTCATATACTTGTGTTTCTTGTAAAGACCATTGTTAATCCTTTATCATTCAGTTTAGCTACTTTTTCAACTACTGGAATTAAGCCATTTTAGCTGATGCCTATTTTTTGGAAAGCTGTTTGCTACCTTGAGAGTATAAATTTAAAAGTAATTTCTGCAACAGCTGATGGTGCCTCTCCGAACAGAAAACTTTTTAGAATGCATAAGAACTTAAATATGAATGTGTGTAATGATTTAGTTTACAGAGCTCACAATATTTACTCTAACGAAAAACGTTACATATATTTCTTTTCAGATGGTCCACACTTAACTAAAACTGCTCGCAACTGGTTCTGGACAAGGTACTCGTTATATAATAGAATTAATAATGGAATAATGGTTTATACATACTCTGGTGTCATATTTCTCAACTTTATTATGAGGACTTAAAATGTGGCTTAAGATTAGTAAATAAACTTACAAGTGATCACATTAATTTAACACCATATTCAGTAATGCGTGTTTACTTGGCTGCTCAAGTGTTAAGTGAAACAGTTGACAATGTTTTAAATGTATTTGGTCTACCAGAATGGGGAGGAACTTCTCAATTTTGCCTCATGATGGATAAATTTTTTGACTGCTTAAATGTTTCAAGTAAAAATAAAGCTAATAAAAATTGTGATAATCCTACTGTCAAAGATGCTGGGTATAATGACACTATTAAGTCACAACAATAGATCGTATATTCTATACGATCGATTGTTGGTAAAGTTCAAGGTCAAAGACATAATTTTAATGAGATAAAGGATTCACTACTGCCAAAAAGAAGAAAAAATTCAGACTAAATAGCAAATTAACAAAGTCCCGGACAGTGACTATAATCCTATCAAAACAGCTATTTTCATACCTACAAAAAAAATAATTACATTATTGGCTAAGAATTCACTTTTTATGCTTGTGACAACAGCTACTGTTTATTTATATTATCATTTATTTATTTTGGTAATATCGAAATATCAATTTATATTGAATTTTTGTTAATATCGATTAATATCGAAGGAAAGTGTTTCTTGAATATTAGTAATTCTTAATCAATTAAAATTATACTCTTGGGTGCTTTCTTAAGTCAGATTTTTATCACCACCCTTGTATTAGGCATCCCAGATTTACAATAAATTAAGCAAGGTATTCTTAATATAGGCTGATAATTCCCTAAATTTATAAACTAAACAGTATTTGTGTAACATTACTCTCAGGTCTTTAATACAAAATGGGGTGGGAATTTCCAGATCTAAAAAAAAAACTGGGTCTCAATAAAAGGGTGAGTGGGAATTTTTTAACAAATCTAATTAACTTTTTTTAGAGGTTTTTTTTTTGAATAGGCCAATGATTATTTAAGCCTAATTACACTAATAGTTTTCATTTACTTTAGTGAGTTTATATTTTCTAATTTGCAAGACCAATTTACACAGAAAGCAAATAAGGTTTCTTTTATTTGTTGATAACATATACAAAATAATGAAAAAGGGGTATCTTTATAAGCACGGGGGAGGAGAATTACCCCAAAACTGTTTTACCTCCCTCTAGAGTAAAGAGCTTTTATGTGCATATGTAGGAGGGGCCCAAAAGTGTGTACAAAATGAGGGGGTGTTAAAACGGCAAGTACTTACACAGAATAAC